GATTACTGCTCTAATGTACTTTCACTGCTTGACGGCCCTACATGAATTATTAAACAGGGAAATGCGTGTCATTCTGAGGCGGTATAGGATCAATGTTTCTAATATGGGACTGGCTCAATCTTAAGGACAGAATGTATTTTTCAATAATTTTCATTTTCAAAATATCTTCTGGTGATACTCCTACTCACTTTAACAAATTCATTGTCATATGCATGCAAACAAATGCATAAATATCTGACCAGAAATAATGAAAACTTTGAACTCCACATTCCACAAGGGAATGTTTCTTGGTGCAAAAATTAAACTATTAACACGATTTGGAAATTTAAAAGAAATATCAACAAGAAATGAAAATTGAAATAAATATAGTTCAAAAAACTAAAAAACACGCTTTTAAAAAACATCGAACTTGAAAGTGATTTTTTTTAAATAAGCTTGAAATAATAACGAACGAAAAATACTATTATAATTGTAAAAAAAGCGATGGCCGCTTGATATACAAAAAATATGGCACAAAGCGCCCACGCTATTTCCACAAAAAAACTAGTATTTTTCGTCCGTTATTGTTTCAAGCTTATTTAAAAAAAATATTTTTAACTTTTAAGTTCGATGTTCTTTAATAGCGTGTTTTTTAGTCTTTTTGAACTATATTTATTTTATCTGAACTTTGGGATAAATCAGCCGTATATTGTTAAGCAAAATGACCAGCAGGCGCGCAAAGGAGGGTTACAAATAAGGCAGCAGGGCGCGTGTTAATAAAAAATACTTTTTTCAAATGAGGAATTAGGGAAGAGTGTTTATGAAAGAGCCAGTTTTGAAAAACATCAAAATATAAACACGGGTGGTAGAGTGCCACCTGCAGCAATAATAAAAAAAATAGTCGTCGCGAACGTACCTCGTTCAGCAGAAGTGACTTGTCCAATTTGTTTTGACCCTTTTTCAGCGATGATTCCAGGAGGAGCTGAAACGGTGCTGCATCCTGGAGCCGGCTCTCTCATAGCCTCCACACGTTGCTCTTTCAAAACATTTTGTTGTTGTGACCTCAAAATACAGCTATTTCGCGTAAACATTATGACATGAATATTATCGTAAAATAATGGTAAATATATGCGTAACAATACAACATATCAATTTTATCATCTCATGTTGCACTTTTCTTTGTAAAAAAAAAATTAAGTGAACGGAAAAAGCTTACTTCTTGGTCCTAAAATCTTTGATGTGGTCTACCGATGCCATTCGTTTTCGCAGAACTGGTAAATGTTTGGGGATGACACCTATTCAGTGTTGCCATACAAAGACTAAAATTAAATTATGGTAAGATTTTGGTAAGTGGTAGAAAATCACATAGGCTCTTTCATACACACTCTCCCCTACATGTAAAATGATTTCGAGTTATATCAAGGAGGTTACGTACAGCGCCATCTGCCCGAGAATAGATCAAGCAATGATGTCGATACTTCTGTCAAATACAGATCCCAAACTTGAGAGTCACAAACAAACAAACATACATACATACATACATACAGGTGAAGCTAATAATGAAGCGTGTGATAAAAAAATTAAAAGATTCCAAACCTAGTTACTTCACAATCGAAACTTTGTGAAGTAACTTGGTTTGAAATCTTTTAATTTTCAATTTTCATTTCTTGTTAATATATTTTTTTCAATTTTCATCTCGTGTTAATAGTTTATTTCTTGGCTCACTGCATTTACTCAGGGCACATAATTCTCGGACCCAATGGTCACTTACCCCACGGTGTTGAGAGTGGTCATTGGTTGATAATGCTGACACGCCCTCCCGATAGTATCGAGGTTTCGGGGGGTAGGGCCTGACCATCGTATACTCGGTAATAGTAATAATAATAGTAGCTGTCATGATAGTTGTTCTGATGATTGGAGTCCTTGTTGGAATGATGCCCTCTCTACTCTCGAATCTCAAAATAATACCGGCTTGCCGCACTAAGCCAGAAATCTTAGCCGGACAGATACAAAAACCTGTCATTCTTGGCTTACTGCATTTACTCAGGGCACATAATTCTCGGACCCAATGGTCACTTACCCCACGGTGTTGAGAGTGGTCATTGGTTGATAATGCTGTAACGGGGCTTCGGGAGATAGGGCCTGACCAGCGCAAACTTCGATGAAAAAATAATAAAAGAATAATAGGGATGCTGTGGATAGGGATTCTGTAGACTTTTGAGTTTGGAGTGTCTACGTGACAGAATGGTAGTGGATAGAGCTTGTAGAGTCGTCAGGAGTTCAGATCCCCTTCTCGGCATGGTCCGCGACCATGAGGCAGCAGGATTTGGGGCATTTCTCTTTCGGTCAGCTGCCCGAAGAGCTGATGAACTCGATTTAGTTTTCGACACTGAACGATGTGACCACAACTCTGTCACCGAGTTGGAACAAGTTCAGCAAAAGGCTCACATAAAAACCGCAGAGATCACCTCACCTCTGCGGCATCATGAGGCTAAGGCTAAGCCAATGCATGGGGTCTTTAGAAACATTGAAGTGCTTGGTTTATCAAAGCGCCTGACTTTAGCTTTCCTCAGGTCGAGTGGACTGAAGTCGAAAACTGAGTAGTTCATCATGGCCTACCAGGATGGTGTCTTCAACACCTTATTCTTCCGCAGTCGCATGATGGGTATAGAGGTTCCTGACACAAGATGCAGGAACTTTATTGCTGTATTACCACCTATGGCACTCTTACGGTATTGACGAGACACCGGTGTTGCCCTACGCTCCGGGGGATATTAAATTCGTTGTGGGGAACGAAAAGTGTCGAATTTATTGGAACTATTCGTTCCCCAGCCTCATACTCATACAATCTAATAAGCCTGATGTAGCCTGATTCGCTTTTAAATATTGAAAAAAAAAAATTCAAACAATTAATGATAACACAGTGCTGGCTAAACCTGATAGTTTTTTCGATTCTCGTTAATTAACGAAAATATTTTTCCAAGAGTCATTTCAGTTGATGAATAACGATCAGTTAATGAGTTTGCATATATTCCAAACGAACATTGCTGGAAATTTTTCAAAAGTAACCATTGCAATTTGACAACACTTTATTTCGAGGACTCATTCAAGTATTGATATTTTACAATATTCGTATAATACTTATCACCTCATTCGGTTTCAGTTTGTATGAGAGTTTATAGCAGCTGAAATATCCAAGTAATCAGCATAAAATCAATATTTACTTTGGAACTTCGAGAGTATTTCAGACAAATATTTCAACAGTTGACAGGTCATAATTGAAAACAATATTTCAGGGGAATAAACTGACGAAGTACCAAATTCTTCAGAAAATCACAGGGTGTATACAAAATGTGTCAAATGTGGGGTTGATAATTTTTCTATAAAGGGATGATATTAACTAATATTAGTGTCTTCACAAATTAGGATGAATCTACTCCTGAATATAGAGGTCATACTAACAACCATTATCCAGCTACCTCAGGTGTCCCCCAAAAATCCAATCTTGGCCCTCTTTTGTTCCACATATTCATTACTGGTTTTTCTCTCGTACATAAGAAAAATGAATGTCAATACTGGTAACTTCCAAAGATCGATAAAGAAAGTTATTCGCTTTCATATATTGAAAAAAAAAGAAATTCAAACAATTAATGATAACACAATGCTGGCTCAACCTTGACACTGATAGTTTTTTCGATTCTCGTTAATTAACGAAAATAGTTGTTCAAGAGTCATTTCAGTTGATGAATAACGATCAGTTAATGACTTTGAGAGGTTCATAATTTTTCTATAAAGGGATGATATCAATTGATATTAGTGTCTTCACAAATTAGGATGAATATACTCCTCTGGAAAATTATATTTCAAAAAATTAATTCATTCAACATGAAGCTTTGTTCGATTACTCGATAGCTCAATCAGCATTCCTGGCCTAAGTTAGCTATCGCGGAGAAAGATAATGCTATTTGCAAGATTACCTTTAAGGCCAACCTAGGTCTAGCCAGGTTTGTATACTGACAGGAGGTGCAAATTACGGAAAAAATTTAATTTTTTCAACAATTTAACATGCGTTAGTTTTCTAATATTTCAGTAGTCTTAGTTCTATCATTATCGAAAGGTACATTAGACATTTTGCTTTCAATGCAATTTGAACACTTCATATCCGTGCTCTCAACTTTATCTGGCAAACCTTTTATTAATTTGTTATTTATTACAACAAGGTGTATTATTATTGATTATCCTAACATGGTAGCAGAGCGTGGTTGGGTGAGCAGCAAGCCAAAAACAGAAAATAGATTGTGAAAGGAAGCTCACGCCTCGTGCCGGTGATAGAGACAAAAGTGCAAATTATAGAGTAAGCGTTATCAACAAAATGGCTAAACAAGCAAGAGTAGAAGACATAATGTTGCCCATTTTCGATGGCGTAAATTATTCAAATTGGAAGTTGAGGCTACTAACTTTACTAGAATACAAAAAATGTACCGAACCGGCCATTTTGTCAATGCCTGTCAAATATATAAATCAAGAAGCGGATTGGAAGAAAATGGATCTGAAAGCAAGGACAATAATATTGAGCACAATTTCCGATAAATAATTAGAATATATTAGTGAATGTTTAACAGCTTATAATATGATGAAAAAGTTTGACAAAATGTATTTAACACAATCTACTGCCATGCAAATAATATGTAGAGGTAAAATGGAAGAGATCAAATTGAATAATTACAATACAGTAGAAGAATATTTTGTTGATTTTGAGAAAACAACAAATGATTTCAAATCAGCTGGTGGAAATTTAGATGAACCAGAGAAGATGAGATATTTACTTAGAGATCTACCCCCAAGTTATGGTTACATTGGAGATTTTATTGATGTAATTCCAGAAGAACAAAGAACAGTGGATTATGTAAAGTCTAAAATGAAGGAGAAAAATATGACTACTAGTGTCAACGAGAACATGAAAAGTAATATGAGTACTTCCGCAACAAAAACTAAAGTACAATGTTTCATCTGTGAAAAAGCTGGCCACCTCAAAAAGGACTGTTAGCACCGTCAGAAAATTCATCAAGGAAGCCAACCCCAACGAGGAGTACAGAGAGGTTACAACAGAGGTGAATCTCATCGTGGCCGAGGTACAGGTCGAAGACAATCGAGAGGTGAGTCTTCAAGCACTCAGCAAGACAGCTCTATAGCAGAGTCATGGACAGCTCAGGTATGTGATTCAGAAGTTAATCAGTTAACAGGGTATAGCGAAGAGGAATAT